TATAACCCCTAAGTAGTTATTAAGAACGCAACAGTGTGCATCATAAAAGTGAAGTACTCAGGCAGTAAAAAAAGGGGACAGAAAAAGAAATAAGGGGAGATTAAACAAGAGCACACCCAAAAAGAAAAGGAAAACAAGTTATATCCTTTCAACTGCTTACCTCTGCGAAGGTCTCCAAGTAAGGCCACACATCAAACCTTGAAATCCATTTCCGCAGTATCCCATTCTTAGCAAACAAACAGATACTAGAGCAATATCTTAAAAGGAAAAAAAAAAGTAGCAATAATTCTAGGAAATTGACCTGAGCAGACTGTAAGACTTTGCTGAACGAGCTATCTTTGAGCTTCTGCATGCCTTCATCCTCCATGATCACGCTTTTGAGCTCGTTTATCATTTGATGGGGTTGCAGACTCCCATTTCCTCGAGCAACATACCGTCCAACACAACAAAACCTCAACTTTCTCAAAACCCCACTCAATTCCAACCCAAAGAACCCTCCATTTGAAATGCAATGTGAGAGAGAGAAAGATGTACCTGGAGAGAAGAGAAACGAGCTCATTGCGGTGAGCAGCGAGGGTGTCCTGAATGGTGTTGCGCATGGCTGAGACTAGAGGCTCCGGCGAGACAAAAGAGGTTGACGGCGGAGGAAATCAGAAAAGGGAGAGAGGTGAAAGCGAAGGTGAGGAGGAGAGGAGGGGCGGAGAGCAAATATAAATAGGGAAAAGAGGAAAACGAGAGGGGAGGAAGGAAACAAAAACGGCCATTGTTTTGCTGTGATCAGAGAGAGAGAAGAGTGAAAGGGTGATAAATGTGAAAGGGGCACCTGGCGGTGTTTCTGCGGCTGCATGCATGCCTCTGGAGGAGTCCTCACGCTTCTTCCCTCGCGATTTGAAATCGGAACGGAAGTTTTTCGGGTTTTAGGCGGAGATCTCTGTGGCTGTGAACTGGGCTACGTTTGGGCCTTATGAAATTACAGGCTCTAAGGTAAATTTTGGGTTTGTCGGGTACAAAAAAACCACCAGATTCATTTGACCGGGAATTAAACCGCACTTATATGTTTGGACTCCCTTCAATTTTATTTAATAAAATTATGTGGCTGAAATTAAATCACAGACTGCAAAATTTCAATCATAAGATTACATTAAAGTCAAATCTAACGGTTAAGAAGATATCCCCATTTTTTTTGAAAAATAGAGATTTCTTCCCTTAAAAACTTCCTTAAAATAAAAACAACATTTATATGCCTTGTGTAAAATTACCACAATTAAAATTAAAAAACTTATCGATATTTGGTGAGGGGCATTTGAAACAATTAACAACGTGTATTGATATCATATTTTTTTGGTAATGAAGAACCTAAAAAGTTTTATAGTCTCAAAATTTAAAAAGGGAATTGCTATTGACACTTCATAAATCTTATTTTGCACTCCATACTTTCTATAATTAAAAAGAAAAATACACTTGTAAGGAATGTAAAATAAGATTTTTAAAGTGCTAATAACAATTTTTCATAAAAATATGTTGATTCATATCAGCATATACTCTGAGTAGTTAGTAAAAATTGAGAAGCACAATTGTACTTCTCGATTTTTGAAAACATAAATCAAAATAATATGTGCGAGGATGGCTGCTAAAAACCATGGAACCACACTTACTTGGTCTCTTTATAGACCTGCCCATGGCCAAGGATATCTAGGAGAGTGTCACCTATATGTTCTATGATGGTTTTGACGAGTCACAATATTATGACCTCCTATGTAAGGCTACACGGACAAGACAAGATGGTCATCCGGTTAACCTGTACTTCACCGAATTGATGGGTGTATGGCAGGACCTCGACAACAGACATCCTCTTCGTATGGTGTGTGGAGCGGATTTGAAAACTCGTAAAGAGGAACTTGCAAAGGATAGGGTGTATGATTTTCTTGCTGGGTTAGATAGTGGTTTTGACCAAGTTCGGAGTGAGATTCTAAGGATGAAGCCTATTCCTAGAATAGAAGAATGTTTTAATGTAGTACGATGCAAATCTTAAAGGCAGGCCACTATGATGGGAACAAAGACCACCACGGCAGCAAGACTTTCTATGGCTATGGCAACTAAAGCGCCTAATTCTCATCCACCATCTATTGGAAACTCTCTGTCATCTTGTACACAGGAGGATATTGATAAAGATAAACTCCATTACAATCACTGTAATGGAACTAGACACACTGAGGAAACCTGTTTTGAAATCCATTGTTACCCAGAATGGTATTGGGAAAGGAAAAAAGAATTGAAATCACGAGGAAACAAACGCACCTCAAGACAACTGCGAGTTACTACTGCAGCAACACCAAATAGAGGTCACGTTGGGCCCAAAGCCTAACAGGAAAAGGTTGGTAACGGTAGCGGTGTTGTGGCTGTTGTGGCGGGCCAACCAGGGCCCAGTTTGTCCCACCTTGTCATGGCAGAAGCCTAGTCAACAAGGTAGGCAGTGGTGGCAACATCAAATGTGGATGAAACCGGTCCATTACTATCTCTAATCAATCAAATTTCAATGAATGACAACTCGGAAGATTTAGATAAAATCGGTAATGTTTTGATATCGTCCACCAAAAGAGATACTGGTTGGATAATTGACTCTAGAGCTACAGATCATATGACTTACAATGCATCATTATTTTATCACATGACTCCACCATCTAAAGAGGATGTCATCATAGCCAATGGTGATGTTGCTCCTGTAACGGGAGCTAGTTCTATTTCCCTTACTCCATCTTTGTCCATTCACAATGCACTACTTGTTCCATCATTGTCCAATCATTTACTTTCTGTTGGTCAAGTGACTGAGCAATTAGATTGTGTTGTGTTAATATTTCCCCCCTTTTGCCCACTTCAGGATATCCAGACTCGGGTGATAATTGGGCGTTGTACTAAGAGTAGAGGGTTATACTATGTGGATGATATGTCAGCAAGCAAAGTGAATCAAGTGCGCAATAGCCAGTCGAACAAGAATAAGACAATCAGGATATGGCATCGTTTATTGGGGCATACATCTTTTAGTTATTTGAAAAAATTACTTCCGTCTTTATTTTGTGGCATTTCAGACGCTGATCTTCAGTGTAATGATTGCATTCTAGGAAAAAGCCATCGTACTTCTTATTATTTGAGTTTAAATAAAAGAATAGTGTCGTTTGAGTTAGTCCATTCTGATGTGAATGGGCCCTCTCTAGTTGCTACTATTCACGAAGTTCGTTGGTTTATTATCTTTGTACATGACTTCACCAGAATGACATGGCTTTATACTATGAAACAGAAAAGTGAGGTTGGGAAAATTTTCCAACAATTATCACATGGTTGAAAATCAATACTCTCTTCCTCTTAAGGTTCTCCAGTTCGATATTAGTGGCGAATATATCAATACTGAACTCTCTCAAATTTTCCAAGAGCGTGGCATTCTTCATAAGACTACTTGCCCACAAACCCCACAACAAAATGGGGTTGCGGAACGCAAAAATAGACATATTTTGGAAACCACTCGAGCACTTCTCATTAGGGCTCACGTCCCTTACTCTTATTGGGCGGATGCCGTCAGATATTCAGTTTATCTAATGAACCGAATGCCCACTAGAGTACATAATTTTCGAACTCCTATGGAGGTTTTTGCTGACCATGTGATGATACCATCTTCTCTTCAATTGTCACCATGTATTTTTGGGTGTGTGACCTATGGTACACCTCCACAAAAATCAACGTAGTAAGTTGGATCCGTGTGTAGTTCGATGTATTTTTTTGGGCTTTAAAGGTCAGTAAAAAGGATACCGATGTTACCAGCCACCGACGAAGCATACATATGTCACTATGGATGTTACGTTTTTTGAGCACGAGATGTTCTTTGTCACTGATCACACCAACTCTAACCTTCAGGAGGAGATGAAAACACATGAAGATTACAGTTGGATTGATCTTCCAACTGGGCAAAAAGATGCCCACCATGAAACACAGTAGTGTGACACTTGCCAACATGAAAACTACCACGGTGACAACATTTGCTAGCAGGGTCGACAATTGCCATCCTTCCTAACTCGTGAGTCTAAGCTCAGCAGTGTGTGTGAGCTCAATCTGGGTTTGGCTAGTTTGGAAGCCAAGCTGCAAATGTGATCCAGTCCGAGAGTGGTCCCGAGGGAAGCGCACAGCCTAGTGCACAGCGTCAAAGCAGTAGTGGGCTACGATCATTGCCCAAAAACTCTGACAACCAAAACACTTCAAGAAATAACCTTCCTCTAGTTGTACCCGTCCATGTGCTCGAGGATATCTATGAGGTAAGTTTGTCCCAACCTGAGGGAGCTCGTAATTTGACTAATATTGAAAGTACATATGTGTTTCCATCTAGACAAAATCGTAGGAAACCACCTGACAAGTATTCTTCTGATGAAAAAGTCAAATATGTTATGGCAAAGTATGTCTATACTCATCAATTTTCCCTTATGTACCAAGCCATGGTGAATACAATGGATGGAATCAAAATCCCAACAAAAGTGGAAGAAAGTTTGCAAGATCTTTGATAGACAAAAGCAATGGAGGTCGAGATGGAGGCTCTACAGAAAAATAAGACTTGGAGTGTGGAGTTACTACCACAAGGGAATAAACCAGTGGGATGCAAATAGGTGTTCACCATCAAACACAAAGCAGATGGAACCATTGATAGATACAAGGCAAGGTTGGTTGCTAGGGGGTACACACAAACTTTCGGAGTAGATTATCAAGAGACATTTGCCTCGGTAGTAAAAATGAACACTATTTGAGTTCTTTTGCCTTTAGCTGCTAACTTTGATTGGCCGTTAAAGCAATTTGACGTAAAAAATGCTTTTCTACATGGAAACCTGGAAAAAAAAGTTTACATGGAGCTTCCACCCAAGTATGAAATGCCGAACAGAGTGGGCAAAGTGTGTAGACTGCGAAAAGCCCTTTATGGGTTCAAATAGTCACCTAGGGCGTGGTTTGGAAGATTCACTGAGGCAATGAAGAAATATGGTTACCGACATGGAAATACGAATCACACTTTGTTTATCAAATACAGAGAAGATAAGGTCACCTTGTTAATAATTTATGTGGATGATATGGTAGTTATTGGTGATGATACCGAAGAGATTAAAAGACTACAAGGGTATCTCTCTTCAGAGTTCGACATGAAAGACATAGGAGGCTTAAAGTACTTCTTAGGAATTAAAGTTGCTCATTCCCGTGAGGATATTTACTTGTCACAGTGGAAGTATGTTTTCGATCTTTTATCTGAGACATAGATGTTGGTGTGCAAACCAGCAAAAATGCCTATAGTTCAGAATCATCATTTAGCAAGTTATTCTGATCAAGTCTCTGCAAACAGGGAAAGATACCAGAGGCTAGTGAGAAGGTTGATTTACTTGTCTCTCACGAGGCTAGATATTGCATATGCTATAAGTGTGGTAAGTCAATTCATGCACTGCCCTAGTGAAGATCATATGGTTGTAGTAATGTGAATTTTGAGTTATTTGAAAGGTGCACTTGGAAAATGGTTGATTTTCAGGAAACATGGGCATTTGGAAGTAAAAGGGTACACAGATGCTGATTGGGCTGGAAACATTACTGATGGACGCTCTACATCAGGGTACTTTACATTTATTGGAGGCAATCTTGTAACTTGGAGGAGTAAGAAACAGAATGTGGTTGCTAAATCCATTGCAGAGGCTGAATAACGTGGTATGGCACATGGGATTTGTGAATTGTTGTGGCTAAGGATCTCCCTGACCGAGATTGGGTTCAAACCGCATGGAGCTATGTTGTTGTATTGTGATAATAAAGTTGCGAGAGAAATAGCTAATAATCCGGGTCAACATGATCGTACGAAACATGTTAAGGTGGATATACATTTTATTAAAGAGAAGTTGGATGTTAAGTTGATTGACATTCCATATGTAAGATCTGAAGATCAGTTGGCTGATGTATTAACTCATGCCGTGTCATCAAGAGTGTTTCAGGACTCACTTAACAAGTTGGAACTAGGTGATATCTACACACCAACTTGAGGGGGAATGTTGCCGTAAGTTAACCTTAGGGAATAAGGAATGTAGGGATATTTTGGGTATGAGATTATGTAATTGATATCCTAGTATATTTAGGATAATTGTTTCCTAGTTTGTAGGAGATTGTATAAGCTTATATATATATTCCTCTATGTGAAAAGAATAAACAATCAGATCAATATTCATGAAAACCCTAGAATTCTATCTCACATACATGTAAATACAAACCAAAACAAGGTTTACCATTTCTTTAATGGAAAACGAACCAAAACCCCCCAAAAACTCTCTTTAATCATAAGGACAAAACAATTCAGTAATACCTAAAATGGGCATGTAAAAGAAGACAAGGGATAGAGCATTTTAAGGAAGAGAGCATTTCAGGGATATCACATGCAAAAGTTGGGCACCAGGAGACAAACCATGCAGCAAATTCACATGCAAAAGAAGACAAGCAAGTTCACATGCAAAATAAAAATTAGTCCACATTTCATAAACAATGCTGACAATTTCAACAGCAGTAGAAGCATAGTGACAAATGACAAGTACCAAAAAGATGTCCACACCAATTTCAACAGCAGTAGAAGCATAGTGACAAATGACAAGTACCAAAAAGATGTCCACACCGTTTATTTATAAATAATTTTAATACCATTGTATTCTCATTCATTCTATATAAGTGGAGTTTCATTCATTGTAAAAACATACTTCTTAACATCTCAACACGTGAACACCCTACTCTCATCATATACTCACACCATCTTCATACTCTCAAGCATCTGTAGTCTTCATAGCATCCTTGTAAACACTTCCTTGTAAACAATTATCTTTGTAATCATTCTATATATCAATAAAAGTTCAAGTGTACGTATTCAAGCAATCTCCAAGTCTTAAGTAAGCTTTCTTTTCTTTCTTTAGTGTGTTTGTTTAATTAGACTTCTAGTCCAAAACAGGGAAACACTATTGTAGTTATGTTATTAACCTGCTAAACTGACGATCATACTTTGTTCGAGCACTCTGTTATAGTTGAATGCTTGCCATACAAATAACTGGACATCAACCAGGGTACCTTTGAGTTCTTCGTACCTCTGAGTTCAGCCGTTAAGGCCTTATAGTTGTACTGTGAGTGGCTGTCATATTGAAGCATGTCAAGTTGCATGTACAAGATTTTATGTCTAATTGTTATAATGACCATCTGACTATTTAACCGGGCTTGCTGTCCGAATCTGGTATCCAAAATATCATCCACATAAGCACTACAAAATTTATCATATTTCTTGAAAATTTGGTCCATCTTTATTTGAAGGATTGATGGAGCATTTTTAAGTCCAAATAGCATAACAAGCCACTCAAAATGTCCTTCTCGACAAGTAAAAGTTGTCCACTCAATTGATTATTCCGCTAATCGTATTTGCCAAAATCCTGATTTACAATCAAATTTACTAAAATATCTACTTTCTTGAATTTTATTTATAAGCTCATCTTTATTTGGTAACTTATAACTATCTTCATATGCATTATCATTTAATCTCTTGTAATTATAAACTATTCTAGCCTTACCTCTCTTTAATTCTGAATGTTTTCTCACAATAAATGTTGTTGATCTATGTCTAGACTTAGAGGGTCTAATTACTTTTAAATTTAACAACTCATTTATTTGATGTTAAAACTCTTGCTTGTCTAATAAACTAGAAGGCATATCAGCTGTCTTTATAGTTAAATCTTGATTAATTATATCTAATTTTGCTATTATTTTATTTTTATTCCAATGTAACTGTGGGTCTTCTCCTATGATTCTAGTTTGTTTTGCTAATTTTAATAATTCTTCTAAACTTTTTGGTTTATTTAACTGTAATATTTCTATATGGGTTCCTTCTTATAAAATCAGATATTCATGTTCAAATATTTTTTCATCAAACTCTTCTATATTATTATGCTCATCATCTTCTTTTGAGTTTTCTAAATAATAACAATCTTGACTACTAGATTCTTCTATACTTATACTTTTATATGCTTTTACAGTATCACTTTGGTCAATTATTGTAATACCTCTTTCGAAAAATGTTATGCTAGGGTTCATAAACAAAAAACCTTGTAAACTTTTCAAAAAGTTTAATCCTAAAATAAATGGGTATGATTCTACTGGTGAAACAAATGTTAATGGTAAATTAAATTGTTGTTTTTCTATTTTAATAGACTCATTATTAATGCGATGTGTTAAGTAAACTGGTCTCTCATCAAATTGTGTTATTCTTACTGGTTTTGCTAATTTTTGTCTATATTTTTCTGGTACTAACTCTTCTCTTATAACACTCTTTGTACTTCATGTATCTATTATAGTTGTTGTTTGTATCTTATGTTCTTTTGCTAATTCTATTTCACAATTTATGGTAATTAAAGAACTATTTTTTGGCTTTTCTATACTATAAACAATATTTCCTAATATTTCAGTATTGCGATTTTGTTGAATTAACTTATAATAACCTATTACTATAACACTTTTCACATAATATTGAACATGTATTATAATATTTATTTGCAACTAATTTACTACACTTATCACATTTTTTTGGCCAACCTAAATTAATGTATTTATATTCTTCTTCATGTTGTTCTTCTATGAATATACACATATACCCTTCTAAATCACTATTTCTGCTACTTGAATCTTCCAAGTACATAATAAAAATAGAAATGAACATAGAAAGCACTTAGAAATAGTTTTACAAGAATTTATCAATAATGGAATTGTGATTAGCAAAAATAAAATAGCGTTAGAAAAACAAGATATAGAATTTTTAGGAATGCATATCAAGTCAGGTACAATACAATTACAAGATCATATAGCTAAAAAGGTCTTAGAATTTCTAGATAAGTTAGAAGACAAAAAATAGTTATAAGCATTTTTAGGATTTTTAAATTATGCAAGAAATTTTAGCCATGATTTAGGAAGAAAAATAGCAATATTACACAGTAAAACTAGCAAAATTAGACAAAAGTATTTTAATAGTGAAGATATTAAATTAGTTCAAAATATAAATGAAGAAATTACTAAACTTAAGCCATGAACATTACCTTTAGATGATAGTTATAAAGTAGTTGAAACATGTGCTTCATCATAAGGATGGGCAGGTATACTACACTTAAAAAAGCATAAGGAGTTTCCAAAGTCTGACGAACAAGTTTGTAGATATTCATTAGGAAAATTCAATGATGTACAGTCAAGATTACAGTCAACGGATTTAGAAATTTTAGGAATAATTAACTCACTTGAGGCATTTTCTTTATTTTTACATAATGAAGTATTTACGATTAGAACAGATTGGCAAAATATAGTTTCTCATTATAAAGATACATGCTAATAAACAACAACCTAAAGATGGGTTAATTTTCTATAGGAAATGATTTTAAACCACTTTTTGAACATATAAAAGGTAATGACAATACATTAGTTGATATCTTATCAAGATTAATTTGTTGAACAAGAATGGAATATTGTGGACTATCATCTTCAAATGGCACAAGACCACAAGGCAGAAGAGCATCTTTCAATAGCATAATGATGCACCATGGACTTCCACAATTCAGTGGATTCCAAAATAGCATAAGCAGACTAGCATCACCACCAATATCTACTTTCAACTTCAATGGCAATATTGTTGAAGGAATCAGAAATTCCAACTCTGAGATATAGGCCAAGAGTACCAGGACTTTCTAATAGGCAACAGATTCTCTTAGATAATTTTTGGATTATCCAAATCAAACAGCCAAACATGAGGTTAGGTCATAAAAAATTAATTAGAGCCTTAGAACAAGAGTTTGATAGTTTTAATTTTAGTATTCATCAAATCTAGCATCATATTCATTCTCTTGAGCACAACCTTCATGTTATTTCTAGGGACCATGAGTCATTATTTAGTAAGTTTACCAAAATGAATCAAGAACTCCAATCTCTTAAAATGCAGCAGAAGGCAAGTGACACCCTGCAAAGAGAATTGAAAATAAGTGTGGAAATTGATCAGTATAAGAATAAAGAAAAAGAGGTTATTGAACCCATAGAACAAGAGGCTAATGAACTCAGAGAAGAGATTAAGATTGAGCTCTTAGAAGAAGACATTGCATTGGAGTAGTATCAACATCTAAGTGACAAAGAAAAACAAGAAAGATATGAAAGTTTTCTTAGAAATATATTTTTAGACTTAATAATAGATGATATTCTATTAGAAGAAATTTCAAAAGCAAAATTAAGAACAATGCCAAAGATATGCAAAATGAGATCCTAAGCAGAGTATCACAGTCCATGAAAAAGTTACAATTACAATTACATTGTTCCTTCTATCAGTCCATCTTTGGTCCAAAACCAGGAATAAATATTATTACAAAGATGTATCCGCCATATTTTTGTAATAGTACGTAGAGTTGTATTTGTAAACTGAAGGTTAGCATAACTGTGACCAATATTAACATGAGAGATTATAGACCATGGCATTTTAGTTATGAGCATCAAGAAAAGCATAATGTGGTAGAAGTTACCCCAGCCTTACTATTAGAGTTTGGCTATCTTGATAAAATATTCATTAACCATATTTCACAACTAGAATTATTTCCTTAAAAACTTATAAAAGTGGCAGAAGATTATCTAGAAAAGTGGAAGGAAATTTGAATACGTTTTATTA